TCCCAACTGCCTTTTCTTTTCATATTTAACGTTTTTATTTTCACTTTTGTTTTTTATTTCACTTTTGGACCGTTTCCTGCCAACGTTCTCCACCAATATTTATATATGAATTGGAGATCAGGCAGTACACTGGAGGCAAGCTCATGGGGACGAACGTCCCCACCCCTTGGTAGGAAACCAAGATTCTGGCAGGACACAGGAGGCAAGGTCAGACAGTACACAGGAGGCAAGCTCATGAGGACGAACGTCCCCACCCCTTGGCAGGAAGCCAAGATCCTGGCAGGACACAAGAGGCAAGCTCATTGGGACGAACGTCCCCACTCCTTGGCAGGAAGCCAAGATCCTGGCGTGAGGCAAGATGCAAGCTCATGGGAACGAACGTCTCCACTCCTTGACAGGAAGCCAAGATCCTTGCGGGAAGCATGATGCAAGCTCATGAGGATGAACGTCTCCACTCATTGGCTTGATGTCAAAATCATGGCGGAAAGCAGGAGGTAAGCTAATGAGGATGAACGTGTCAAGATCCTAGGCAATTTCTGCAATTCCAAAATATGACATATTACATGGGCAATTTCTGCAAAACAATAAATTACGTGGCTTATTTTTGAAATATGAATCTAAGATAGTAAAAAGACATATTATTTCCTTTGTTATACTTGCTTGCGAAAATTTCCCTAATTTGAAGTTCCATTACCCAAATGAGAGGGAAGAAAACAGAACACTTCCGTTAGTAGAGCCTTGCGCAAAAACGAAGTATTCCGTTGCACTGTAGCAACGCATAAATACCCAACTTAACTATCCTAAACAATTTATATATAAGGAGATATAGTAAAATACGTAGTATAATATAGAGTATATATTACTAGTATAATACGAAATATAAGACCGAATACCCTTGGACCTTGATAGGGAGCAATAGAACCAGGCTCGTAAGATTACTATTATAACATTTAAGAATGTTATAGAGCCAGAAATCTATATCAAAATATTTTTTTCAAGATTAAAAGTATTTATATATAATATATATATATTTAAGATTTTTTTTCTGCAGGGGTCGAGGCCCCCTCCAGCCTCTCCATGTCTCCACCATTGAGTTGGGGAACACCCTAGAAAAACGGGTGAAACTTTATTTTCTAATAAAACAAATAACGAAGTATTTATATTATCAGTTAAAGTGCAAATCGTGAAAAAAAAATTGTCCGTACAGTATATACGATAGTATACTGAGTATAATCTTTGCCTAATAAAATAATATATTAAAAATTATTTTAATATATATTTTTAATAATACATTTTAATTATTTTAATAATATATTTTAAATATACCCTTTAATGTAATTTTATTTTATATTTTTCAGTTACTTTTTCAGCTCTTTTCGGCATTTCGTAATTCAGACAATAGTCTCTAATTCAGACAATAGTTCTCAATTCAGATATTAGTCTTCAGTTCCGTGCCAAACATAGATTAATAATTTACATTGTGATGGACTGATGGTCTTCATTCTATTAATCTTGACCCTCGTTTTAAGTCTTAAGACACGTTTACACATCAAACAAAGAAAGAAATTGAAATAATTGTAATGAATAAATTTATTTATTAATAATTTGTAGTGACATGACTAAATCAGTTTGAAAATTCCAAAATAGGACTGTCATGGTTTCATTCGCTAAATAAGACTACTTACTGTCATGTTTTGGCAATACCAGACTTCAAACATGTCAGAATTTTCTGAACATGACAGTAATTAATTATATTTTGGAAATAAAAAACATTACAGTCCTATTTTAAAAATTTGAAACTATTTTATTCCTATTTGGGGAACTTTTCCTATCTTAACATCACAAGTTATTAAAAGTTCTTTGGATTCGATTGAGGTGGTGGACAATGTCTATGTGGGAACGTCAAACGTGTGAGGTGGCAATGTTTGACTTGATGACTTTGATACCAAATCAGAATTTCCTCCCATTCATTTTTTTTCATTATTTCGAAATGCTTATTAAGAGAAATTATATCATTGCACTAAAACTCTCACGGTTTTAACATAGTAACACATATTTCGAATTTTATTATTATTTGAAAGTTCTTCGTTTTAGACTGAATCAACTTATTTTTTAAAATTTATTAAAATCTAACCGTAGCGACTGCGCAGTTATCTTCAAAAAATTCATTTGACTGTCTTCCCGATTGAATGTTTAGCTGAAATTTGATATGGATAAACTAGACTTAATGAAGAAGATGATAAAAAAAAATCATCAAAAATTTCCACCGGAAACAGCCTAAAATGACGACGGCCGGACATAGCATTCTATAAAAGGACTTATTTGGTATTGTTTGAGATTGTTTGGATACTGTTTGACACCGTTTTGGATTTTTTTTTTGCCAAAAAAAGAAAGAGCACTTTTATTTATGGGCGACCCAAAAAAGAAAGAGAAATTGCCCAATATAGGAGTAAACATAAACATAATTACACAAATAAGAGTAAAACTTCAAACTTCCTTCAATAGGAGTAAACATTAATTTTGTACCCTTAATATCCCTAACCTAATTAATTCTAAAATATGATTTATTTGATCCTATTAAAAAAATCTAAGTTCATTCACTGGAAACGATACCTTTATGCAGCCCGTTTAATTTTAAAAAATAATCTAAGTTCATCCCAACAAATATTAAAAATTAAAAAATTTATTTTTGTAAAACTAAAAAAATTTAAAAATAAATAAAAAATAGATAAGCTATATTAAAAAATAAAAAAATTTATGCAGACCTTTCTCGCAGCCTCAGTCATCACCCAGCAATGTCACCTCCGATCGGCGAAAAAAATGTCATTTTATGTAAAAACTGTCATTTTTATTTGAAAATGCCATAAAGATGACAGTTTTTATTCTTTAAAAATGCCAAAATTTCTCAAAATCTGCCATCTTGATGACATTTCAGGAAAATGTTGACATTTGTTTCGGTGGTCGTAGCTGGTGGTGCTGGGAGGTTGTTGAGGCGGCAGACGCCTACATATTTTTTATTATATTTTTTTCATTTTTTTTATGTTAATAATTTTTATTTTATTTAATACGGAGTATATTTTATTTGATACATAGTATTTTTTGTATTTTTTATAATTTATTATAAATTAATTAATCTCACGAATTATTTCTTTTATGTTTTAATTATTTATGAAAGTTGTTGAGGCTTGGGGCTTGGCAGGGCCAATCGTGACTTATCAAAGGCCTTGTTCAATTTGAATAAAAGGCCCTAAAGCATAGCTCCTTTTTATACCTTTAATGCTTTTGTCTTTTTGCATTTTCTAGTATAAGAGGCATAGTAAAATAGCAAAAAACAAATAGCATGATGTACTCCGTAACAAAGAACAAAATAAAAGAAAAATGGAAAGAAACAACATGTTGAAACATTACCTCTAGCTTTGGGATAGTGCAGTCAAGCTAATGTAGGATAAAAATCAATTATTAATGCACCTACTAATCTACTATAGTGCTATACTAGTAAAATATGTGGGCCCTTTGAAGAGTTTGGGTCCTGTGCAGTTGCACTTCCTAGACATGATCTAGGTCGGCTCTGGGGGCTTGGGTAGAATTATATTTGTCCAAGTACTAAAGTTACTTCTATTCGAAACATGGTACTCCTATTTTTACATTTCCTAGATTTTACTCCTATTTGGGGTATGTTTTGCTTTCTTATAGGAGAAAACTTAAAGACGTCTTACATCTCAAAATAATTTTCAATTTTACTTTTCTCGGCTAACATAAATTCATTTTGTTCTCTAATTTTGAGAGTCCACTCACAATCAATTTTAAAATGTGGTTTTTGTTCGGGTTTTTGTTCCTGTTTCTAAAATTATACAAGGTACCCCCCTCCCCTCCGTCACAAATAATCTTGCAAAGTCAACATTCTTTGGTCAACCAATTATAAAAGTCAATCCTACCTATTGATAATTAACTCAACTTTTAATAATTAAAATTTACATATTCAGAAACCACATTAAAATCTCTTCAAAGTTGCAAACCCCAAATTAGAAAACAATTAAAAATTGACATCCTAATTAAACAAATAAAATGAAACTGTTTGACCAAGAAAAGTCAAATTTGCAAATCAATTCGGGACGGAGGTAGTAAGTTTTATAACTATCACTAATTCGAGCATTATCGGTTAATCTCATAAATTATTTTCAATTTGAGATTAACTGTTTTATGGAAAAATGGGCAAATAAGCACACGTACTAACCAAAAAAAGTCAAATAAGCTCTTATATAGGAGGCTCTGTCTGGCCGTCGCCATTTGGGGCTGTTCTCGGTAGAATTTTTTGATAATTTTTTTGAGAATCTTATTCATTAAATCTAGTTTACTCATACCAAATTTCAGCTAACAATTCAATCGGGAAGACATTCAAATAAAATTTTGAAGATAACTATGCTTTAACTGCGCAGTTATCTTCAAAAATTCATTTGAATGTCTTTCCGATCGAAGTTTTAGTTGAAATTTGACACGAGTAAACTAGACTTAATGAATAAGATTCTCAAAAAATTTCATCAAAAAATTCCACCGGGAACTACCCCAAATGACGACGGCCGGACAAAACCTCCTATATAAGGGCTTATTTGATCTTTTTTTATTAGTACGTGGACGTATTTGTCCCTTTTTCAAAAAACATTTAAAAGCATCACTCTTCATTCTATCAGCGTTTCACCTATAACTATTTAAAAATAAGTAAAATTTGATGTTTAAAATCACTTTTTTTACTCCTTCCGTCCGTAAACAACTTAACACTTCGTTTTCACACATATTAGGAAATAAATTTATTGGGGGTAAATTTTACTGTTTTGACACTGTTTGGACATTGTTTATCACCTTTTGGCACTGTTTGGATACACAGAATTTACCAAATAAGAAAGTAGAAAGAAGCGTGAAATTAATTTCGGGATTGCCCGAAAATGAAAGTGTGAAGTTGTTTAAGGGACGGAGGGAGCAGTTTTTTTTTGGCTAAAAAGGCACAAAAATGCTTCTTTAAGCACCCACAAAAACTCCTTTGGAAAAATCGCGATCTGCTGCTGTGCTTAAAAACGGCCTTTACTCCCATAGTAAATGACTCCAAGTCTCCAAGACTCCAACATACCTTGAGAGTTGAGATCATCTTAGAATCAGTAAGAAATTTCTCATCAGCTGGTGGATGCAAGAATATGATAGTGACCTGACTTCCATCTGCAAATCTCACTTTTACTAACCTATTAATAACAGGACATCAAAGTTCTCCTTTCAATTTCCTTAGAGAGATGTCAAGGAGATCTGGGAATTGCTTAAGGTGCTGCTTGGTGATCTTTGCTGTGGTTTCAGCTCTGTGTGTATCTGGGCCTGCTCTTTACTGGAAATTCAAGAAAGCTCTAAAGCTCAAAGCTTATTGTACTCCTTGCAAATGTGACTGCTCTCCACCACTTTCCATTCTCGATGTTGCTCCTGGTATAGTTCTTACTCTACTCCCCCTCCCTCTCTCTCGCACCTAAAGATCCAGTTTTTATTAGTACTGTATCACTTTAAGTTTCTGGGTAGTTTCCAAAATTTAATCTTTTATTCATTTCTTATTAGATTTTGCTTCTCTGGGTTCGAGGTATTTGGTTTGCTGGTTGTTCTTTACTGCGTATTACTAGAATTTAGATATTTATGATCTAAAGATTGATTCTTTAGGTCTCTGTGTTGTTCCAAGAGACCAAGATTCAACTTATATGCCATGTTATCATATTCTGTGCGTTAGGTGACTATTTTGTTATTTTGATAATGGCAGGAAGATTTTTTTCTTTCCAAATATGACAGGATGTATTATTGTTTTATGAATATCAACTGTTTTGGTATGATATGATATCTTTCAATAAAGCCAAGTTACTAAATATAACTATAAGTAGAATTTAATCAAAGGATTTGCTGTTATGATGTTCGAGCTATGTTCCCTAGCTTGCATTATATGTAAAGCTGATTAGTTTTTTTCTTGATAAGCCCTGTTTCTGTTAATCAGTAATCATGTGTGTTATTCAGTGAACTGGTTTCGAGAAGATTTTTTTTAATCGGAAATTTACCAGATTATGATAATAACATAGTATGTTTTCCTACATACGACTATGTAGACTCATATGACTAAACATAAGCATTATTACCAAAATATCCCTCACAACCCCAAATGACTTAAAAGTTATCATAGACACATTTCCTCTAATCATCTTCACTGCACATAAATGCATTCCCATTCATCTTCTACCATTCATTGTCCCTTAAGAATTAGAGAGGAGAAGAAAATTCAAGAAGAACATCTTGGTGAGCTATGGTCTTCATTGACCATAAACACTTCCCACAAGCGTCATCTTCACTGCACATTATACACTCTCATCCATCATCTTCATTAATGTGAGAGACCAAATGAGGGTAGAGGTAAAAGAAAATGTTGGTAGTGGTGGCAATCATGGGTGATGATAAAAGAAAAAAGTTGATAAAGAAGAAGAAAAAGATTTACTTCCATGAAGAAATGAAACTACGAAATTTAAAAGGATGTTGCCGTTGGGGAAGAAAGGGGCGTGTGACTTCACAGGGTGGTGGGAGAAAACCTCCATTGAGCATTACTGGAAGGGAGACCAAAGATTGAATGGAAAAAGGTTAAGGAGAAAACGAATAGATGAGTTATTACCAATAAGGGCATGTTAGTCTACTAAAAGAATTAATTATTAATTACTTAAAAGCCTTCTTTAAATAATACCGAATGAGGTTACTTCGGGAGTAGAAACAAAGTGGCCATATGTAGGGAAACTTGATCCGTTATAGTCACATACAGAGTATATGATAATTTTCACTTTCTGATTTGATGTTTACTTCTGCTTCTGAATGTGCCACATTTTGACTTCATGGTACTTGCTTCTTAACTATGAAATATACTTTTAGAACAAAATATAAAAGAACATGAAAGACCCATAGATAACTTGTCCAATAGCCTAGCTAACTTTAAGGAGTCCAAAATTCTATTGATCTCTTAATACATCTTAAACAAAAAGTCCTTATTTTAAGAGTATCTAGCACAGTATGTCAACAAGGTAGATAGTAAATAAATTGATTGAAAAATTCTAACAGTGACATTTAAGTCTCTGATTCCAAAATCAACCAGAGCTCTCTGAAATCTGTAATTGATGGACTCCCTTTATTTTTTGAAGATTGGTCCATTTTATAATAAAATAAGGGGTAAGGTATAATACTATCTATCCATCCTAAAAAAATAGACATGTTTCAAAAGGGTAAGAAGTTGTCAGCAAATCAAATATGTTAAATTTAGTTAAACCAACACATACATTAAAAATTATGTAAGATTAATGAGAGCCGTAATTTGCCAAAAAATGAAGAAGTGGTCAATCGTTTTAAGTCTGGCTCGAATACAGGCAACGGGGGTAGTATTTATTCTTGTATCTGATTCAATGGCTTAATTTTACTCTCCAAGGAACATAATTTTTTTCTTCTTCTACATAGGCTAGCAGACACTGACCCTGTATGGTTGGGTTCTTTTTGACGAGACAGGTGATATTTATTTTATTACTTTGTTTGCTCTTATATTAGTTGGTTGGAAGTGAAGTGAATGCAAGATGTTATAACGAAAAATTCGGATTACATGGTTTGGTAGAGGAGATGGTTATTTTCTCATATAACACTGATAAATATCGATAAATCAGTAACACCAAATTGACACCCACATCACCACGCTAACATGAAAAAAGCCTCAAATCAAACAAGGGTTAAAAGAATTGTGATGATTTAGAATAATTTCAGAAATTACTTAGGTGCTGCAGAGTTTATATGACTTATTGTTGCACATCGTTACTTATGTGCTGCATAGTTTACTTAAATAATTAAATGTTGGAATACTCTTATGATTTTTAGAATTTTAGCATGCAATTGCAAATGTTATTTTGAGTTACTAAATCATACCCCCTATGTCCCAAAATGGTTTGCAATTTCAATTTTGAGTATCAAATTTTTAGCATATTAAGTATTGGTTTTGCTATTATAGTATCTTTCTAATGTTATACATATTACCTATGAGGCTTACGCCATGTAAAGCTAAGCTGCTAAAGAAAAATGCCTTAAACCCATTTTATTTAGCCTTTTAAAACCTTTGTGTATGGCATAAATGCATAATTTAAACTGTACCATATATATTTATGCACTGTTTCTTTCTATGATTATAATTAAGAGCACAATTCTCATGTCTGGTGCTTGTTATGCAGGTCTGGCAAATCTAACAGTTAAAGGTAAACAAATGCTTCCACAGCCTTTTATCTGAATGAAGTTCAATTATTCAATCTCATCACTAAGCGGCAAAAAGGGGGGACATTTTTTCTTCTGGAATCAGCATTATTGCAATATGTACTTGCTTATTTCTGCTCTGATTTTCTTAATACACTCCATAACAGACTGTGGAAAAGACGACCCAGATCTCAAGGACGAGATGGAGAAGCAGTATGTGGATTTACTATCAGAAGAGCTAAGGCTTCAGGAAGCAGTAGACCGAGAACGCATGCATCGCATGAACATTACAGTGACGGAGGCCCGAAGGTTAGCTTCAGAATACCAGATGGAGGGTGAGAAGTGTAATATTGCCACCGAAACATGCGAGGTGAGAAGAGAGGGTGCTGAGGTTTTGCTCGCCAAGGAGAAGAAGCTGGCAGCTACGTGGGAGAAAAGAGCACGCCACTTGGGTTGGTCCGGGAATTAAACAGCTATATTCCGTCTATAGAGTGCTGGTCCTTGTTTTGTTTTTGTTATTATTGATATTGTTATTATTGTTGCTGGGTATAATTATCTCAAAAGTTAGTCTGCTCAAGGAAACGGCTAAGGGACTGAAGCCCAAGCAGATGGAGAAGTGGAAGACAACAGTTTGTAGTTCGTCCTGTGGTAGTTAAATGTTTTTCATCTGTATCCTTAATTATTGAATATTCTGTAACATTAGACTTACTGATCTCCTTTGGTGTATTAAAGAGTGTAATATTAATAGATAAATAGCCTACACCTGAAAATGTGTATTCGGCTTTCTACGTTCTGAAATACCGACTTTCCATAGCATGCAACCAATGTGTTACTTTCCTAGTTTCATCTATACAAAAACTCTTTAGTTTATTTTTTACTTGATAATGTTCATTTTTCTAGTCTGGTGGTGATAATGATTATTCTTATTGTAACATGATGGTGTTTATTTTTAGTAGCATGATACTTCAACTAGATGATTATAAGTCTTTTTTTTTCCTGTAATTATCATGCTTTTATCAAGCACAACTAGAAAAACTACTTTATGCATCTGTAAGCTGAACATGAAAAGGAAAATTCTATGGTGCATCTCTAAATTTCGCATGTACGGTACATTTCCTTACGTAGGCAAATAAAACAATGTCACATGGACATTAAAATTCATATATATTTTAATTATTTCCATGTGCTACAATATTATTGGTCCGCGTACGGTACAATCAAATTAACGGGTGCACCGTAGAACTCCCCACATAAAAATTTGACTCAACCACCAGTTGAGATACAAAAATCAAGTCGCACACTAAATTAGTTTAGGGCATGGAAAAAATTATTGACAGTCCAATGTATCTGAAATATCCTATCCCCTTATTGTAAAAAGGAACAACTTACACTGTTTTTTTTTCCTGTCATGACAACAAGATTTAAAATAAATAAAGAGCTCGTGTGATGTGGTGGTGTGACTCTCTTGGATGAATACACATCCCCAAGACCCCAACCCAAATATCTCCTTAATGAGAAGCCTTGTGTTCAAATCCAACCTAGGAAGATGAAAGAGGTACTACTCTCCATTATTCTCCCTACCTTCATGAAGTAGCTCACAAGCTGAGGAGGGAGGTAGGGTAATGGAGGTAGCAGATAGCAAGTTTAAGTGGTGAGAGGAGAAGTCTCGTACCTGGTGTAATGTTGGTGTGAGTTCGGTAAAAGGAAGAAAATTTATTAATAAAATTAATCAAATAACCAAAGAAAAGACAGAAAAAAGATGCAACGGAAAATAGTCAAAGCTTGTGTAACGCACAATGTCCTTAAAACGTATCTGTTGCCTCCCACGAAGCTAGGAGCGTTGCAACAACCATTTAACAGGATACGGTGACTAACGAACAATCGTTTGAGCGCACAACCGGTTGTTCCGGCGAACGCAAACGAAGCTACAACACATAGGATTTTTTCTGGAAACTGGAGGTGTTTTGAGCTTCAAAACTACGTGAACACTGTGTTGTGTAGTGTGTTGTTGCAAAGCACTTATAGGGAAGGATTGTGGTGTGTTAATGGCGTATTAAAGGACCCTAACGTTGGACATCAATGTCCAGAACGTTGGCATTGATTCATCCAAAAAACAGTCCATTTAATTGCATTCAGGTAGCAGAACGTTGGACATTTATTGTTGTAACACTTCAGCAGCAAGTAGCAGCCTACTGCTGATCGTTCAACACTTGAGCAGCAGCCTTCTAACGGGTTGATCATGAAGCAAAAACTAGGAACGTTATGGGAAGTCGCGGTTTTTCTTCTCCGTTTTCGGGATTTGATCCCCTGTGCGCTCGAACAGAGTCTTTTCAACTAGAAATCTCAACTCCTTCAAAGAGGGTTCCCTTTATAAGGGGTGAAAATCCCGTGGGTTTTCCGATGTGGAAATATCACATTAGAAACTCATCATTTTCCTACTTTTTCTCCATTTCAACAAGTGAACTTCAAGAATCAATTTCTCATTCACCCGTTATCCGTTTTGAATGTACCACATATTGAATTAAAGCCCTTAACAAGGACAATCCGAAACCATTTTGAGCCGACCCAAATTAGAAGTGGATCATACTCAAATTACTTCCCAAAATTGACCATTTAATACAATTTTAACACATTTTCCAATACCTTCTTCTCCGGAAATGAAACTAGGATGAAACTACACTTCAAGGGCTATCCAGGGATGTCTCAACCACTCCAATTGGACGAGTGTAGCTCCAATTATGGGAGAGACAATCTCCTCACCCAACTTGTGCGAAAATTGACATGATTACCTGCTTTGGATGTCATTTATGTCTTGTGCAGCCCCCTTCAATTTTTCCCGCCCAACCTACTCATCTCACTCATTTTTGTGTCTTGCAGATGTCAAGGAGGTATGAGTCGCACCCCATTTGTTATGATAAAATAGTACCTGAGTAATCCACAACTAAAACAAAACAACAACCCAAACATAGAAGCTTCCTTCATCATTTTATGAACTTCCATTAAAAATGGCCTTTTTCTTATTTAATGTGCTTTTCTAATTTAGATAATTTCTTGTAGCAGTCGATGTCAGTCCTTATACTTTTTCCAATTTTTTTTCTAAATGTGGAGTGTCAGCTGATTATTTTTGTTCTCTGCTTGAGAGACGTTAAATTGAAAACATGTGATTGTGTTCTACATTCTAATTTATGTAGGTACTATAGAAGAACCCAAAAGTAAATACATTTATAAAAGGAGATATAAGATGATATGGAAATAATTTAAACAATATTTATTTGACAAGAATATTGAGAAGTTTTTGAAGGAACTTATCATATTTTAACCCATATCACAAACCTCTCTTATACACATACGATAACTCTTATTCATATTCCCGCGAAGGCGTGAATCCATTCTATATAGCCAAACTTTTCTATCTTCAACTCCTCAAATGCATATAGTAGTAACAAGGAGAATAATAAACCACATAAGCGGCACCATTTTATTTTGGGGCTCAAAAGATCATCATATTTACATTAGTGGCCCTTTTTGGCTTCCCTCCATTTTCAGATCATACTTCAAATCAAAGCCCCTCCCCCAAATTCAGTCTGAGAAGAATGTACTGACCCACTTACAGTCTGATCCTAGATTAACCCTTTATGACCATAACCAAGAAATCAGTAGCCTTGGCCGTCGAGGGAAAGTGAATGAAGCCCGGACAGTGTTTGATGAAATGCCTCATAGGGATGTTGTCTCGTATGCCTCAATGATTAGTATTTATGTTAAGAATAAGGAGCTTGTGAAGGCTGAGAATCTTTACCTTTCCGCTCCGGAAAGGAATGTTGTGTCTGAGTCTGCAATGCTTGATGGTTATGCCAAGGCCGGGAGAATGGACGAGGCTCGGAAAATCTTTGATGGAATGCCCTATAGGAATGTGTACTCTTGGACAAGTTTGGTCTCCGGTTATTTTCAAATTGGAAATGTAGATGAAGCTCGTAGGTTATTTGAGCAGATGCCCGAGAAAAGTGCAGTTTCGTGGACTGTAGCATTGACAGGCTTTGCTAGGAATGGACTCATCGATGAAGCACGTAGTAATTTTGACGAAATGCCCTGTAAAAATGTCATTGCTTGGACTGCCATGATCAGGGCTTATATTGAGAACTGCCAAGTTGATAGAGCGCTCGAACTCTTTAATCTAATGCCAGCACGTAATTTACATTCATGGAACATTATGATTCAAGGCTGCTTGGATTATAATATGGTAGATGAGGCTGTGCAACTATTTAATAGAATGCCAAGAAGAAATGAGGTCTCTTGGACCACAATGGTAACTGGTCTAGCACACAATAGGCTGACTGATTTTGCAAGGATGTATTTTGATCAGATGCCGTATAAAGATGTGGCTGCCTGGAATGCTATGATCACTGTTTATTGTGCAGAAGGCCTGATGGGCAAAGCTTCCGAGCTTTTTGAATTTATGCCAAATAAGAATCTTATTAGTTGGAATATGATGATTGATGGATATGCCAAAAGTGGACCAGAGGGTGAAGCCTTAAAGCTTTTTCAATCTATGCTTCGATATGGACTAAGGCCAGACCAAACTACCATTACCAGTGTATTGACATCATGCAGAAGTTGTCTTGAGTTATTACAGGTTCACCCACTGTCTTTGCTGCTAGGGTTAGAGCACGAGACATCCCTCACTAATGCCCTGATCACCATGTATTCTAGGAATGGAGATCTTACCTCTTCAATGATTGCTTTTGAAAACCTCAAAATGAAGGACATTGTCTCATGGACTGCAATGATACTCGCATATGCTTATCATGGTCTTGCTAATCAAGCATTTCAAACTTTTGCACGAATGCTGAGATCAGGAAAGAAGCCCGATGACATCACATTTGTGGGCGTCTTGTCAGCATGCAGCCATGCAGGTTTGGTGATGAAGGGTCAGAAGCTTTTTGATGCCATGGTACATGCCTACGGACTAAAACCAAGAGCCGAGCACTATTGTTGCCTTGTTGACATTTTGGGGAGAGCTCGGCTCCTAGACAAGGCTGTGTTGGTGGTGGCACATATCCCACCAGAAGAGCTCGATGGAGCTGTCCTGGGAGCTTTACTTGGTGCATGCAAGCTGTATGGAGATGCTGCACTGGCAAGACAGATTGGGGACAAACTAATCGAGCTCGAGCCAAGTAGTTCAGGTGGCTATGTACTTTTGGCAAATGCATACGCTGCTTCGGGGAACTGGGACAGTTTTGCACAGGTGCGTAACAAGATGAAACAGAGGGAAGTAAAAAAAGTGCCTGGGTTCAGTCAAATTGAAGTTAACGGTAAGTGTCATGTGTTTTGTGTGGGAGACAGATCACATCCTGAAATGAGTGAGATTTATAAAGTGCTGCAAGAGAAGCTTCAGCCTTTGATGCAGGAAACATTTTAACTTTCAAGAGTTCAAGACCCTTTCTTTAGTGATGTAGCAGTATCAACAAGTTCGGTAAAAGACTTGGAGATCAACGCAGAGGTGGTCCACTAGTAGTTTTTTATCATAAATGCAAAACATTGTCAATATTTACATTTGATTAATCACAGTTTGTTTTCTCTGATATCACATTTTTTTTATAATAAACACCCAACAATTATCAAAGGAAATTATATTTCCAACATATTTGACCAGATCAACAAGCTCTCATTTGCTTCATTTTATGATTTTCAGTGAGTCAGCACTTGGCAGTGAGGGAAAGTCCATTAATCCAATATTTACTAATCCTACTAAAAACATAATGCACTTGAAAGAACTCTAACATGAATATACACATATGGCAAGCACGACGTGTTTGCTGGCTTCATGTTCCAAAATTGTTGAGATGCTAAATGAAATGAGAAGAAACAGGTAACTTGTACTTAAAGTTTGTAAGATATTTGTACAGCT